AAGCATATGCTAAGCACCAAATACAAACCAAACTCTACAGATACAAACCACTGGACTGGGATGATCAGGAAGTATGCAGGTCCATACCTCATGTGCACTTTTGCGAATGGAACTTGTTTTAAGGCCTGGGAGGAGAAGTATTAAAAGCAGAGACTCTGAACACAGACTGGAAGGGTTTAAATCCAGGCTGCACCACTTACTTGATGTACAACCTTGAGGAGATCACTTCACTCTCTGAACCTCAGTTTTCTTGCCAGTAAAATGAGGACAAAAGTAGAAAGCACCTACTGCTTGGTATATGAAAGTTAATTGAGTGATTATTAGTAAAGGGAGAGTGGAAAGGGCCTGGCACGTAGTAGGCAGTATGTAAGTGGTTCTAAGATAAAAGTTCGGTTTATACTCAGGTGCCTAATTTCCCCTCCTAAACCACCTTTCCCCTCTCCCATGTACTGAACACCATGCACCATGCTAAACCATCAGGAGGACAATATGGTGGACGGGGCAAGAGCACAGACTCTGGAGCCAGGCTGTATTTGAACCCCAGCTCCCTAGGTCTTACTGATCAGATCATCTCTTGGTGTCTCTATCTTCATCTGCAAATCTGGGATGATGGTATATAACTCATGGGACTGTTACAGGCATTAAGTGAGTTAATGATGAAAAGCATTTAAAATCTAATCTCTATCTCGTGAGCTGCTCTTTGATTTACTCTATTACCCGCCATCCCCTAAATAGATGCTCTCACCTCTCTGCCTTCCGTTTGGTGTTTCCTATCACTGGCAGAGTCTTTCCACTTCCCCCATCCACTCCTTTTGAAGTACCGCCTTGGAGACATTCCTGCCCCTCCATCCACAGAAACGGGTGCCTTCCCTGATGCTCCCGCAGCCCTTGTTATGACACTAACTGTGCATAGGGCTTCCATGACACGATTTAGCCCTTAACATGACTGTGGTTTTCTTAAAACCCAAATGAAATGCAGTTCATCTTCATTTGGTTTAGTCCCGCTTGGAACATTAGAAACAGCCCAATACACAATTCTCAATAAATCAGTAACGGGAACAACAGCTCATCCAAGAACGGAATACTCAATACTAAATGTACGAGTCCTAAAGACCAAATTTCCATTATAGGCATACTTCATTTTAGTGCATTTCATTGTGTTGTGCTTTGCTGATGTTGCTTATTTTACACATCAAAGGCAAGACCTTCTTCCATTAGCAAAAAGGTTACAACTCGCTTTACTGCGGTGGTCTAAGAAGCAAACCCGCAATATATCCAAGGTCTGTCTGTATTATTAGACTTTACTTTGTCCTCAAATTTCTTTCTTTTAGTTCTGGGCTAACTGCACCCAAATTGCTGATCCACGTCCAGCCTCATATCTGAATGTCTCTCATGCCTGATCTCAAGTGAGCATTTGCCAACTTTTAACAGTTTCATCTATTTTAATTTCATCATCCTGAATGTATAAACTCAATCAATGACAAAGAGGGGTTGTTCATTACAGCCAAAAAGGGGCAGAGAGGGAAGAGAGGATAACCCCTCTATTAGTACTTTATTTTACTTATTTATTTTTTAATCCTCACCAAAGGATACTTTTTATTGATTTTAGAGAGAGAGGATGTAAGAGAGAGAGAAACATCAATTGGCTGCCTTCCGTAGGTGCCGCCACGAGGGATCAAACCCACAACCCAGGCATGTGCCCTGACCGGGAATTGAACCAGCAGCCTTTTAGTACACAGGGCAATGCTCCAAACAACTGAGCCACCCCGCCAAGGCATTATTTCTACTTTTTAAAAATGCATCTTTTGTGGTCTTATATAAAATATAATTTTAGAAACTCATTTTCATTTTAATGCATACACGGCAGTGTTTGGGAATTTCTAAAAGAAATACTCAAGCCCTGGCCAGTGTGGCTCAGTTGGTTGGAGCATCATTCCATAAACTAAAAAGTCAGGGATTGGATTCCTAGTCAGGGCACATACCTAGGTTTCAGGTTCAGTCACGGGTGGGGGCATGGACGAGGCAACCAACTGATGTTTCTCTCCCTCTCTGTCTCTCTCCCTTCCCCTGCCTCTCTAAAATCAATAAGCAAGTCCTCAGAGGAGGACTTAAAAAAAAGAAGAAGGAAAGAAGTACTCTAAACAACACAAATAGCACAGGCACACCAATGAGTGTTCACCACCTAACAGGGGAACCCAGGATTGTTTTTACAAAAGCAGGCCACAAGAGAACTGAAGCCTTTTGAGTTCATCTCAAAACACTGAGCATTTTAGATCAATGTTACTTCATGAAAAAACAAACACCTCTTGCATCACTAAGTATTACTCTTCATGAAGAAATCAAAACAAAAAGCAAAGACTAGATTCTCAGCCTTCCTATTTAATAATAAAGATACTGAAAATTAGTTACATTTGAATAAATAAGAAACCAAGGAAACTAAGAATAAATGGTCAAGAGATTAAGAAATGGCTAGTTGTGGCTAGGTGTATCCAGAAAACATTCAATCTGCTTAAATAGTCAAACAATTCACCGTAGTGAGCACTGGCATTCACCTACAATTCTGGAGTTCCGGATTCTTGGCCCAATTTCTTAGACTCTCCATTGAAGTGAGCTTCTCTCCTAGTTTTAAGAGGGAATGGCAATCCTACCCCTAGTGAGATTGTGAAGCCTATGGCTCTGTGTTCAACACAGCAACATGGAATAATATCTGTGCTCCAGGAAAAGGCAAAGACCATGGCCATTGACTCCAGCTGCCCAGCACTGTCTAGTAGCTAACAGAATGACCCTGCAAGGATAGTACCCAAAACTAAGGGGCAGTCTTGGAGTAAGTACACCAGCACAGTTCATTTTGGGCCCTTTAAAGACTGCATCTACTGCACTGCCCTTGAGCTACAAAGATGCCTATTGTAAGACGTGGCCTTATGAACCTACAGGCATGCTATCTGTGGTCCAGAGGTAGTTTGCAATGCAGTTCACTCACAGCACATAAAGGACGTGAGGAAAGACCGCTCTGAGACAGCAGGACAAGGAGATCTCTCTTCCAAGCAGCGGACCTCACTGATCACTTTCTCTTGGCTTTGGCTGCGAGAAAACGCTGTCATCTCTAGCAAGTACACCCGTGTTTTCCACTAACCTTAGTCCTGGCAGTTTCTCTCATCTACTCTGACAAGACATTTTGATGTCTTGTTGGACTGTAACTATATGCATACATGATATGAGCCATCAGAAATCCCCAAAAGAGGCAAATTTAAATGATTAAGACACAAAACACAAGGTCCCAGAGAGTAAAAATGAGATGTTTCATCTTACCTGAGTCTACTTGGCTGAAAGTCAGCTGCACTTACTGATAGGACGTGACAGTTTAATAACTACAACCCAGAAGGGCAGCCCGGCTCCATGTCACCTGTTTACATCACACTAGTTAATCAGTCTTATCTTATGCTCCAATTACATGTACATTCCTCAAGTTAGGTTCCTCAATTGTTTTATCTCCAAATTAAGAAAAATGATCTAATTCAGTAAGGTATGGGTATCTACTCCCACCCACTCTCCTGCAAGAACTCCCCTGGAGAGAACTAACTCATACCAACACTCATACTCTGACTACATGCAAAGAAATGGTCAAGGGCTCCCGGGATTGAAAGGGTTAAAGTAGCTTCCAAAAATGAATCTCAGAGATCCTCATCGAATCTACCTCACACACAATACACTTGCGCACACACCCACAGCACACTCGTGAGGGTGGCACTCCGAGTAATTACAGAAAAGAGAAAGGCCACTTCAGCCACAAAGTGGAGGAATATAAAGAAGCCTGCAGATTTGGAAACTTGGAGAAACTTAAGTCATAGAATAGCATTTAAATATATTTGTCTGCTTACAATTTCCATTGCAAATGTGATTAGTTTGCTTGAATAAATAGGAATATGATGTGTTGGCCATGTTTTCCTCTTGAGGGTTATCACAGAGTTTTGATTAAGGACAAATGTTTGAAATGTTGGGTATATTTAAGTTCACTGCACTTAAAATGAGCTAAGAAGTTGTATAGGCTTGATTAAAGGGCTGCCTTCATGAACTTAAAATTAAAAGCAATAAATCCCAATGATTCAAGTGATTGGGACTAAATATGGTATTCTGCCAGAAAAGTTGAAGTGGAGTCCAAAGAGACTGAAATGGTGTCCAGGTTTCAAGAAATGGTGAGAGAGGAAAGGTCAAGCTGTCGGAGTTGCCTTTCCTTTGGGTGAGTGAATGATTCACATTACGCAGAATTCCTTTTAAGTAGAACTTCACAGGACTTACAGGCTCCCCGGACAATCTGTTCTGTCATTTTTAAAAAGAAGCCTCTCAAATGCTCAGAGGCCGGTATGTAAGTGTTGTCAGATGGGCAGAGTAGGGAGAAGGATGAAAAAGGTTGGGGCGAGGCGTAGAGGGGTCTTCTGGGGTTTGTCCGCAGACGCGCAGGCCAGCTCTCCCCGGCCAGTTCCAAAACGGAAGTCAAGGTGACTTCCCCGCCTGCGGGAGGGCGGAGCCTTTGAAACCTAAAAGGATCTGGCTTGAGCCAGGGCTGTGTTCCCTGGAAAAAGAAACCTAGGTCAACAATTAACTCGGGTCAGGAGCAGGAGCGTGATGGGGTGGCCCAGGGGACCTGCTAACCCCAGGCCCTCCCCCGCCCCAGGCGCACCCTCTTCTCCTCCCCCCGGCAGCTAGCGCTCAGGCACCAGCTCAGCTTGGGGAACCAATTCCACTCTTGGGCCAAATGGGAGGGTCCAGCCTGCAAAGTTTCTGCAGCAAGATCGGCCTCAGTCGCAGCAAGGGCCGCCTGTGCGGCCCCGGGGGTAGCGGACAGGTCCTTCGGTCCGCTGCTGCAAGGTGGAACAGCTGCCCCGTGCTTTTTGTGCGCTTTCCCACGCGCATCAACCCGGCCAGTGAACTTCCGAGCCTGTCGCGCGCCTCCTGACCCAGTGAGGCTGGCGCGCTCCCCGGGGCAACGGGCTGACGCTTACCTTGGCGGCCGCCATGCTTTTGCTCCTCAAGCAGGTGACTGCAGGTCCCTCTCACTGGCTCGCTGGCACCGTGCGCCAGAGAACTCACTTCCCGTCTGGGAGGCAGCGAAGGCGGAGATAGGACCCGGCAGCGTGCTCTCCCGCCTGCCTCCCCACGCCCTCCCTCCCGAGGGTCAGGCGGTGCCGCCAGCCCATTGGCTGGACCGCTGGGCCTCCGGGTGCGCGTGATCCGCTTGGCCTCGGCCCTCAGCCTTGCAGGCCCGGGTCCCCTGGCTGCGGGCTGGGTGCCGGCACGTGACGCCAGGGGAGTTCTCCAACAGCAGTGACTTGAGAGGCAAAGGCCCAGACGTGGTGACCTGGTGCCAGCCTGTCTCATTTAGTCAGGTGGCCTCGAGATAGCTGTGACTAGTACCAGCGGCTACTCCAGGCCCTGGAGACCCAGGAGAGAGGACACAACCTAGGGAAGTTGAGAACTCCGGTAGGTCACATGTTTAGCCAGCATTTCCTTGTCAATTTCCTTTTAAAGAGGCTCCATTCTGCACTGTCATATAATGGACCCCAAAGCATTGACCAAAGGGGTGATAGCAAAGTCATTTCGCTCGCAAGCCTGCTTTCGGTCAAATCCGGAAAACTCTATGTACTAGACAGTGTATATATTTATTTGCAGAACATGTATTTGCCGAGCTACTTATTTCTGCCTTGCACCTTAGGACTGAAAAGAAAAAAAAAAGCCCTACAAAGACAAATAGATCAAAATTTTTATGAAAAAATTAAAGGTTTAATCTCCAGAGGTCTTATTCCTCTTCAGAATTTTGTTCAATTGTCTCTGCCATCAAAATTATAATTAAGACAATGGCAGTGGGCTTCGAATGTGTTTTGGGTTATGAATGTAACCTAACAGTGAAAGTGTTTTTTACTAATTATTTTAATTCATCAGCACTGAGCGTTTGCCTGCTATGTGCCAGGCATTGTGTGTGCTAGGTGTTGGGAACAGCAATAGGACTTAAAAGGTGGTCCCAGCCCCTAAACAGCTTCAGGGCTGGTGGGAAGGCAGACCCATAGGTCATTAACTTGGATAGAATCTGTTAAGACAGTGACTGTCAACGTTTTTCATCCCATGGCACACGTAAACTAATTACTAAAATTCTGCAGCACACCAAAAAGTGTATTTTTGGCCAATCTGATGAAAAAAAAGGTATAATTTTGATTCATTCACAACAGACAGCTATTGTGTTGGCTGTTGTCATTTTTTTTTATTTGACAATCGAAGGGAAAAGAGGTCAGTGCCCTTGACTAAATAGTCAGGTATTGCATGTTTTAAAAACACTTGGGGCATACTAGTTGAAGATTGCTGTTAAGGCGATAGCCTGTTCCCAGGGCACAATGGCAACACTAAGGACTGGAGAAGTAAAAGAGCTGCATTTCTGTCCAGTGAGGTGGAGGGGGTTTTCCAGCCAGAGAAAATGAGGAGAGGCCAGAGGCCCAGACATTGGATGGGAACCACTGCCAGCTTTGAAAATGATTAGTCATGAAAGGTAACCTGAGCTGTGAGACGGTAGAAGAGGAGTCTGAACAAGCAGGAAGGGACCAAGCAAGTCATGGAGGATGTCAGGTGCCATGCTGAAGAGCGTGCACCTTAACTGAAGGGGTTTGGGCAGAAAGGAGCATGGCCAGGTTTAACATATAGATGGATCATTCTAGCTTGCAGCGGGGAGGATGGGGCAAGGCTGAACTATTGCAATACCCAAACAAGACACGCTGGAACCTGAAACTAGAGATGGGAGTGGGCTGCAGGAATACACAGGAGGTGAAATTAGTCAGCCAGGAGGACTGATGAAGTGTGGGGGCGGGAGAGAGAGAGGAGTCATCCTGACTTGCACATGGGCCCCTGGTGTGGATGTTGGAAAGACACAAGAGATCAGTTCTGAAGCACGTGTATATGTCTGCTAAGGAGAGTGTGTGTACAATATACAAACTGCTGTAAAGGCCAAAGCATCTCAAAAAGGAGTGATTGACATACATACTCTCAAGAGGTCTAACCGAGCCCAGAAAGACTTGATTGAACATGTTGGTAGGCAGAGGAAAAGGGCCAAGCAGAGAGTGAAAGAACAAAGGTGAAAATAAAACCAGGAGAATTAATAGAGCTAAGGATGTCAGGGGAGGAGCCTAAGACTTATAGGAAGGGAAAAGAGGTCAGTGCACCTGACTAAATAAAGGGATTTTTTAAAATGCAGAGAAAATACCTCAAGTACCTAAGACCATATCATAGCATATTTATATTAAGGGCTTCACTGAAACTCTCCTTTTGTAACACAAATGAACTTTGTAAAAAATGTAAATGTCGTGAAATATACATGCAATTGATCTATCCAGTGTTAAGTGCACAGAGCACATTCACTCTGTGCAACCACTCTCCCGAATCCTTTTCCTCTCACAAAACTGAAACTTTGTGCTCAGGAAACATCCACGCCCACTCCTCCCCCTCCCTCCCCCCTGACTACCACCATTCTGCTTTCTGTCACTGTACATTTGACAAGTCTACGAACCTCATAACAGTGGGATCATATAGTATTTGTCTTTTTGTAATCAGCTTATTTCATTGAGCAAAATGCCCTCAAGGTCCATCCATGTTGTAGTAGGTGTCAGAATTTAAAGACTCTTTAGGACTAAATAATGTTCCCTTACCCTTTAAAGATAAATAGTTAAGACTCTATTAAGATTTTTTTTCTTGAAATCTTGGAAAGTTCAGGAAATCATAGTAATGACAAAAAATCACTCATAATCTTACCAACAGTTAGCTACTATTAACATTTTCCTGTATTTTCTTTAGGTCTCAATGTGTTTACATGTGTATATAGAGAGTCATATTTCTAAATGTAAATACAAGGAATCATACCCTGTGTATACATTTTCTATGACTGTGCTAACAAAACCACCACCTATTTGATGGCTTGCAACAACAGAAGTTTCTTCTTTGACATTCTAAAGATCAGAATTCCAAAATGAGCTGTAAGGGGCTAAAAATAAAGGTGTTCACCAGGCCATGCTCTCTCCAGAAGAATTAGGCAAGTTTCAGGTTCTTTGCTTTTTCCAGGAGCTTGTGACTTCTTCCTCCATCTTCAAAGCCAATTTACATAGCCTCCTCTCTCTCGCTCTGAGTCCCTTGCACAGTTTCTTCTGTGATCTCTCTCTGCCTTCCTCTGTTAGGGAACTTGGGATGGCATTTAGGATCCACCCAGATAATCCAGGATGATCTCTCCACCTCCTTAATGTGATCACATCTCCAGAGTCTCTCCCATATAAGGTAACATGCATAGGCTGTAGGCATTAAGATGTGGGCAATCTGGGGGAGGCTGGGAGGCCCTGAGCCCACCTACCACACTATGGACACAAGTGTCTCCACAGAGGGATAAGAAGTGTATTCCAACTTACACTGGGGGTCAGACTCAGTTGATGAAGCTTCCTCCTTCATTCAAGAATTTCCCAAAACGTAACATTTTTGAAAAGTTAAATTGTCATGAGCCCTGAAACGGGAACGATGCTCCTTGACTTCCACATGACCCGTAAGGAATAGTGTGGTGTGAAACATCATCTAAGAGAGAAAATAAGAAATTGTTTTACTTGCCACTGTTTCCACTTCTAAATCTTAGAAGAACGGCAAACAAACAACAACTGGCCATCCGTGCTCTTTTATGAGCTTGTAAAATTTGTAAGAATTATGGCTCTACTGCTTATTTTTTTCTTAGTAAAATTAGTTTGTCCTAGGACTTTATGAAAAAAGTAAAACAATAGATCTAGTTTATGATTTTGTTTTTAATTTATCCTGATTTTATAGCTAGTTAGCCAATGACACACAGAAATTTCCTTGTGAGGAGCAGGGGAAGCAAAGAATATCTTACTCCAGTGGCTTTTTAGTAATTTTATGACTAGAAAAAGAAACATTGCTTTATCGTTCATTTTAGCCAGTAAAGTTGTCTCCAAACTAGGTAACAGAGAGAGAGAGAGAGAGAGAGAGAGAATGAATAAACAATGTAAGTTGGCTGGGCACCTGTTACTTTGTTTTGCCCTGACAGGTTAGATTTCCTCCTGATGAGCAACTTGTCCCCTACTTGTCCCTCCTGTCTGTCCTCAGACCACCCCCTGGCACTGAATTTTGACTGAAGAGGTCCTGTTTGGGTTGAGTGGTGTCCCCATTACCTCAGAATGTGACTTATTTGAGACTCCAAGATGTAACTAGGATGAGGACATACTAGAGTAGGGTAGGCTCTTAGTCTATGATGACTGATGTCCTCATAAGAAGACACAGGGATGTACTAGGAGAGATTAAACAGGCAGAGATTGGAGTGACAGCTGCAAGTCAAGGAACCCCAAAGATCCAGAGCTGTCACCAGAAGCTAGGAAGAGCCAAGGAAGGATTCTGCCCAGAGTCTCAGAGGGAGGCTGGCCCTGCTGACAACCTGACCTGGGACTTCTAGCCTCCAGAAGTGGGGGAGAATACATTTTGTATTTTGTTATGGTGAGTCAAGGAAACCAATACAGGACCAAAAGCCACCTGTGTCTTGTTGTACCTGATACCTGTGTGGACTGCTGGGAAAGCACCGAACCCTGGGGAAAGTTCAGGTGCTCATGGGCACGCAGCCTGCACACAGGCAGGAGTTCACAAGGTTCAGAAGAGTGAGCAGCATGTCCTGCTCTGAACTTCCACCTCCCTCAGAGCAGCCATGCCTTGTAGATGCTCTTGGCCATGCTTTTAAACTATTGGCTTTTCTTCAGCTCCACGAAAAACCAACAAGCAAATAAAAGGATCTGCTACCACCACTGCCCTGGATTAGATTGCTGGACAAGGTATCCAGCAAGAATGCTTGCAAAGAACATCATCTACGGGAAACGTGAGGCATGTAACTGAACGGCAGTAATAATCCTTTCTGTGGATCACATTTGGCAAAGGCAGCGCCAGGGCTGGGAGAGGACATGTGTGACAGAGCAAAAGGAGCCCCGTGAAATAAGTAAATGATGTGCTCCCAAGTTCTGACCTTGTAGCTGAGACTCAGCAGCTCAAGGATACAGAGAGTCCTTCTTCTGTGCAGCCTTTTTTTTTTTTTTTTTGGAATCCTGCCGAGTGTCAGATCAAGCATGATTAGCTTTCTCTGAGAGTGAGCTAAAGGG